TTGTTGGTAAGGGTGAAACACTTTAGAAAGGCCTTCTGACTAGGCTATTTTCAAATATATGGTAATATCAGTTTTGCCGAAAATGGGGTATTCCACATACGGCCACTTTACTCTACATAATAACGACAACAAAAAATCCTATTATTCTCCCAAGTAGAATTTAGTATGAAGGATACCCGATAGAACGGCGGTTTAGCACGGTTTCCAGATTTCCACCGGACAAGGTTTAACCCTCAGTACGATTCGAAAAGGAATTTCTTGGAAAAATTTATTTTAAAATATCTATAATACCGGACGGATAGAACGCAATAAGCTACTTGAATCAAAAATTTGTTGACAGAGTTACTATTAAAAAGTGGTAATTTCGAAAAAACAATATATACGCGTCATTTAAAACGATTTTAATCGATTAACTGCAAAGGGTCTAGATGGTTTACTATTATACATTTTAGAAGAGTCCCTGCGGCATTTACCCTCTCGTAATAATTTTAGAATAAATATTAAATAGTGTATATTTTCTATTAGAATTTAGCTGCTTATTATTTCTGTAATAAACTATCTATTAAAATTATCGATAGCGTCGTATAAACGAAAGAAGTCGATTGTTATTTGCTGCGTCTTCATAAAAATACTGTCAACATGGATCGTCAGATTATGGAAGAAAGTGAGCCAAAAGTTGAGATCACATCATTTAATGTCCGGCGGACTGTGTTGGTGGTAAAATTATTTTAGGTTTCATCTGCAAACTGATTGAGCGCGTTTCTCTTTTTGCGTATAACATTAATGAACCGTTGATCAACAATCTAATTCGTTGTAAAGCCGTGGGGGATAGTTCTGTTCACAGTGTTGTTCAGTGTTTTAATTCGTGGGATAAATTGTTAAGAAAGCCACCGATGCCTTATAAATTTCTAACAAATAAGAACACTTTTTATTTGTGGAGAAAACGAGAGCAAGTTTATGCTTGCTCGTGGCTCATCACCGCTACATTATAATCTTATCTAACTTTATCCAATCACTTTGTGTGGTGAAGTTTGAATTAATCAGGAATTAAGTTGTTTCAAAGTCGTTCAATTGCCTCAGCACCGCAAAACATTTAAACATACCTGGTATCTGAGATTTTGCAGCAATAACTCTTGTTTTGACCGTCATGATCGCCAAAAGATAGGAATTAGTAATTTTTCTCAATTATATGTTCGTCACATGCTTCAGGCATACAGTTGAACAGATCGCTCTGATTTATTTGGATGCACCTTATAATGCACTCTTATAATTTATATAATACATAAACAAAATACTGCTACTAAATATCGTGTTTGGGGCTGAACTAAATGCAGCGCAATCTGCGTTTAAATTACCGCGTTGTTTTCGCAAGACAAGGGGAAGGCGGAGTGTTGCGCGGGCTTTTGAAGGAGAGCATAGAACAAGCTCTTGTAGTCCAAGTTAAATATCAATTCAGCGGTAGCGCAAACCGGTTGATTATTCAATTCATCGACTTTACTTGTGTGTTTTGCACTTCGCTTTTTTGTCATATGTAACAATGAGAATGCCAAGTATCTAGTATTACCCGTATGGACTTTTGGTCTTACTTACTTCTTGGTCCCAAAATTGTTTGCAACCAAGAAGGGCGAACAGAAGACCTGATGATAACACATGTACCTGTCATTGAACATGTTTCATTCAAAGTCAGCTTTCATGATTACAAAACCTAACGGGGTTCCCTAATTTGGAAATAAAATGAAGCAATTAATGACAGTTTTTCCTACGAAAACGATATTGTTGTTTTAATATATCTGTTTGATATGCTTATTTGCTTTGATAGCTTTTACGGCTTTTCAAATACAACAATTATTTTGTGATGAAACGAATAAAATTAAAAGTAGGAGCCCTGGCCTTGCTATTCCTTATCTACTGTAAATTTTCCACTAGTATTAAATAGTTTAATTATTGTAATGGTGTTTGTAATAATTAAACTAAATAATGCCGCTTTTGTAAACACAATTGGCTCTTTCGAACTGCTTTATCAGATAAGTACCCAAATTAGAAATCAGCCTTATATAAAAGTTACTATAAAATTATATATAAAATTAATTTGTGCAAAAAATATATTTGCAACAGCGCAAAAATATTTGGGGTGTTTTGTGTGTTCGGCAAAATTTTCAAGCATCATATAAATGGTGTAAAAATTAAGATTACATTTTGCAAGTTATCACTTTGAAGTCCCATAATTCCATAAGGAAGGCAAATCATAAATAAACCGCTCCATTTCGAACATGTTCAAGCTAATAGCTGTGAATAGCTAATATTTAGTTGTCTGTTGCTTTATTTTTTAGTAACTCATTTGCTTAGCCTTTCTTGCTAAAAATAATTAGCCTTATGAATGTCTTCTAAAATGCAGGTAATGGTGGATTAATAGACCCCAGTTAAGTGATGCAAAATTAAGAAAATTTCAGCATTTTTACATGAAGGAAACCTTAAAAGTCAAGAAGATTATTTATAGTATCTAAAGTCATAGATTTGGTACACCTATATTTTTGATAATTTTCCTTATTTAAAATGACGATAAACGCCGAGCCGACGGTATAATTCTAGTTGGTTTCTATAGATATACCATGCTTTGAATTTTAAGATGATTTGTTTCCCATATCTGTGGTCCCATTAAGGCTTCCAAGTGTTTCAAATTTTACATAACCGTTATCCTCTTATTTTGATTATTATTATTTATATTAGTTATGAAATTATTCTAGCATAGACACACTCCTAACTCCAAAAGAAATCGGCAAGTTTTTATTCTCCATAAACCTCCTTTTAAAATGTCCAGAATCTTAACTTACATTGACGTAAGTTTAAGCAAGTAACAGTTTTAATGAACTGATAATTAAGGTAGTAGCGTCGTGATAATCTTCTATTTTCAGTAACAAATAGCAACCTATCTTGGCAAAATTAATGCTAGTTTCTTCAGTTTGATGCAATCTGCACGCTCATAATTATTTACATTAAGCAGTAAATTATTAATTTACAATCAACCGTAAACTAATAATCCCAAGTATATTTCAAAATTAAGACGCTCGAATATTTACTAATTTCCCTGCTCTATCGTTTAGCTGAACTTTCAGACTTTTTGAAAGCCTTACAACTTTTGTTCGACTATTGGAAATACCGGGAAAATAGTTGTTGGATGAGTAGTGATTCGTTAACAGCATAAGCAAAGCCTAGTCCGTTTGACGTCCGGATCAAAATGTGTGCTACTCTTGCGGCAAGGCTTTTATAAGTATAAACTTTTTCATTTAACTTCGGGTTCAGGGAGCATCCTTGCACCATACACCAATGTTGTTACTTGTACATGTCGAACATTCGTACAAAGTAGAATAAACACGCGGCTTTTGGTGCAATATTGTAGCCGAAGTAATATTTTTATTAAATTAAGATTAGCTACAAGTATTAAAATTGACGCTTTCACTAAATTTGGGATTGCTTTTTAACTTCATTAATTTTCAGCGTTACTTTTTTGTACCTAATACATTTTTCTGTTCTCACTTTAACTGTTTCGGATGGTTAAAATTAATTCGAACTAAAATAACTACTGTAAATTGACGTATTCATTTGTGTGTGTATTTTTTCGTTACTTTTTATTTTGATTTATTAGGTTCAACAGATTTACTAATATATATTATATTTTGGCTTACGATAAAGGTAAAAATCACAATTATCCTCAGTTAGCCCTGTTGTGTGCCTAGCAGTTGTAATTGCATATTGCTTTATCAGCTTTTTAGTTCGTGCACTCTTAACATACAAGCCGACATGGTGTTATAAGTTCAATGGCCAGTGAAATCACCAAACCTGAACCTGTTAAATATTTAGTGCGATTTTCGTTCACAATTTCGAATTTGACTTTACCGGTTAATAATTCTACAAGCTATAATATTCCCTACTATTTCTAGGAAATATAACTGTTTATAGGCAGCATTAAATATCCAAATCGTGGCTTAAAATGTTGCCTAATAAACAGTAACATTTTTGTCACTTCTTATTGAGGTGTGTATGTATTTTACGTGGTTACCACTCGTTATGACCCGAAGCAAAAATTTAAGTTTGAGTGAATCACCCGGTATATATTACTTTAACATTGGCAACGGTGTTAGGGAGAAAGTCAGAGATGTGGATACAATTGTATGGAGACAGTGTTGACAAAATTTTTTTTAAATTGGAGTGGACTTCCACAAGAGAGGGGTGGATTTGGGTCTCTGAGGGGAAGCCCGTTAGTTAGTTATTGAACTAAATTTTACTATAACAACAATAATTGTCTGGAATTTTCCATACGTATTAATAGTATATGTTTTAGCTAATTTTTATCAAAGCAAAATCTTTTCAACTACAGAATTTAATTATCATTTTTGTTATTATTATTACAGTTATAATAATTGGTATTAGGATCAAGTCTCTGTTTATGCGATATGTTGGAAGGTTGATAGGTTTTTTTCCAACGAATGTCGGGTGAAAGGTAAAAATAGGCAAGGCAGACTCACTGTATATACAGGGTGTTCGCATAATTCGCAGTGGCAATAGTTCATAAGAAAATGGCGAGCAGAAAGAAAGACACATTTACAATATCTTGTATGTTGATTAATTTTTAGTCTTTGATTTTTCATTGAAAAAAAGGTCCCCTATTCAATACACGGTTATCGATTTTAAGCTAAGTTCAAAAACCATAAAACCATAAACCATAAACCGGAACTCCAAACTACCGAAATATCAATTTTTTTCTGCTCGACACTAATAAGCAGGAATATGAACAAACGAATAATAAATAGGCAACACTGGAAAGCAAATACGTAGGGAGTCAAATTTTTTGAAAAAGGGGTAGATTTACCCCGTTCGGGTTAGCATTGACAACATTGGCATCGAGAAATGACATAGTTGGCACTAAAACCTACGATTAATTTGTTCACGTATACAGAGTACCTGTTATTCACGGAACACACAGCTTTTGCTCTTATCAAGTAGTGCGTATCAGTTTCCAGAAAGCGCGCGCGTAGCTATAAAGAATTAACTAGAGTGTGTTATAAGTTATATAGCGAGTATGAAAAACATACTTGACCAGTTTGTGCTCGATTGGGACGTGGATTTCATTAACTCGTTCAACGATGGGTAAGTTTATCACGTTTTATAGTAATTAATCTTTGCTATGAAAATTAGTGGGGATTAAAGCTCTAATGAATATATAAATTGTAAACGTTTAATATTTCATTGTTTCGATTCGTGTATTTGATGAGTCACAGAAAACACGTGCTGGATTTACCTTTTTATTCAACAGAAAAGAACTGTGTCGCATTGTTTTTAAATTGTCTTATTTGATACGTATGTATATATATTTTTAATGCAGCTATTTGAGAAATGGCCTACAACAATTGACCATAGAAAAGTATTAATGAAAATTTAGAATATAATTTCGGTAATATTATGAACGTGTGTTTATTTGAGTGGTTCATCAGTTTCAATATGAAATTTATACGAACTAGTAAATATCAATGTCTAAAATGTGCTTATCATTATTGAGATCTTGCAATTGAAAAATAGCAGAAATGTTAACCACATGGCTCAAAACAATTTTGGTTGGTTAGTGTGTTAATAGTAAAATACACTCAAATGTTCGTTTTTAAAAAAAATTGTAAACAGTAAGAAAATGTGTTTAACTGTGTGAATTTTAAGTTGATCTACACATTTAGTATTTACATTACACATACCTACCTATATTATTTACAAGCGCTAACACGATTTTAATGGCGTTAGTAGATATAACAATGCTTTGCTTTCTATTATAAGTAACGTTGGTAAACTACAATACATTTTGAATACCCATATTTGGTTACATGTGTAACATTAATTTGCTGTAAGTGAACATGAAAGAACGCAATGAGCACCAGGCATTTTTGCTAATTGCTTAATAGTTTTATATTTGGCGCTCATAAGCTATTTATATCAGTATAAAGTTTTGAACAATGTTCTTTTGTCAATTTTATTCAAACCCGTGTCTAATTAAATTAGTGTTTGCAAGTGGATTTACCCTTTTTTGCTTTGTTTTCACTCCCTTTTGCATGGCGAATTCAAACCGAATTTTAAACAGCAAACTTCTGAAACTACAATTTCAGTGGCTTGTGGTATTTATTTACTGATATATGTTATCAGTATATATATAAATATTTGTTATGAAAAAATCAACACTGGCCAATGTAAAATGCAAAACTAGTGGCATATAAAAGAGACGGATTTTTATTGAACTCAAATGATGCAAATCTGATCAGTTATTAAGAGAGAGAGAAATATGTCGTGTTTATCACGTTTACAGCGGACTTAAAGAGAGCAATATATTTAAAAAATAGCCCATTTTACCTTAAATTTAATTAACTTTTACTTAACTTAATAATAGATCGTACATATTACATTTCTACAAGAAACAAGAATATAAAAACATGCTGACATTGGGAAGAAAGTCGGATGATATGCTTTACTGCTAACGTGGTCTAACTGAAGAAGTAAATTACTACGCTTAGGTCTTAAAATTTTCACAAGTGGTTTATGGCTGTTGAACAATGTAATTTCGACAACTTTACAATGCGTAGAAAGCCCACAATTCTCCGAAACCTGGTTAATTACCTCTTGCAATAGACTTACCACCAACTTGTGAATCATAAGCCCAAAGGGAGTTGTCTGGAGGGTCCATTGAAACTGAAACATAATGGTCAAAATAGATGCTCTGGGTTAAATTGGTCAGCGCTTAACATTTAACACCCAGGCTGTAAATTTGTAAACGGAATGTGTTTCTAATTGATTGTGTGGGTAAGAATTTGACTGTAATCCATTAAATATATATATACAGGGTGATTCAAATATACAGGGTGATAAAAATTTTCGAAGATATTAACAGTTTAAAATAGAATTTCAACTTTGTTATTAAACATTATTTTGAAATGGTCCCATGATTGATTAGTAGCCTATTGGAATACTTAAGCATTCGAAAACATAAATTACGATTTTGCTTCAAACTATGAAAATTCAAACCAAAAATAAGCTACCTGACTGTATTAAAGTAATAAGTAATTTTGATTTGTTTTTGAGAGGTTAAAACTTTATCTGGATTTAAGTAACAATCAAGATCAGTAATTAGATTTGATGCTCTTGAGGCCCGTGCTAATAAGCATTGATTTGAAAGTAGCAGTTAAGTGTATTGAAATAATAGGATTTGTTAAATACATGTTGCAAAAATTCACATGAACACACTTCACAAGCAGTTAATATAGTTTTATAAATATTTTTCCAGAGAAAAATTGTTGCGTGTGTCTTGGGGGAAATGAACTATTAAGAATTTTTCACAGACATATTTTCATTATTTGACAGATTTCACCCACACTAGCGGTGGTTTATATTCAAATATTGTTCTGTTTTAATCCACTAATTTAATTTTACTCCGGTTTATAAATCCGTACTTCAAATACAATATATTCATATTTTAAAATCCAATAGCCATTTCTACCTATTATTCTGCGCGCAAATCCCAAATTAAATTTGATGGGTTTTCTTTATAAATTTAAGTCTTTTGATATTCATAAGCAACCCACAAAGGCGTTAAGCCTCAACTGGGAATAAGACAGACGTTATGTTTGCTTTTCATAAAATCGTATTTACACAGCCCCTGTCACTTGCACGGGTGTTATGTTTATTTTCTTGTGTGCTTTAATAAGCGTAGGTTATTCTGCACCGAGTTCTATTACCATTCTACTATTGTTTAAAATCCGTGAGCTTTGTTTACTTGCTTGTCGACATTTTTTTATTATTTAAATGAGCTGGTTGTTAAGTGTTTTTCGAATAGTTATATCTTGAGAATGAGTAATCAGTTCAGTAGTATAACGTTTTTTTAATAAGTGTGAGGCTCTTGTCATTTGGACCTCTCAATATTGAATTTGAATTGAGTTTCTGGGAGTTTTCATTCATGCGTTTTAATAAGATTTCCACAATTTTCGAACAATAAATCAAATACTGTTTAGGAACTTAAAAAAAAACTGGACGTTTGTTTAGATATCTGCTTATCTACTGGTCTGATCAATCAAATTATTAACTAAACTTTTTGGTTTAGGTCGGTCAGTCAAATGTGCGAAGGAGGCTTCAATGCCGCGGAAGGATTCTCCAGAATGGCATCAATGGGAGCCGGTGCCATCGGAATGCATCCAAGTCTTCAAACCCCACAACCTGTTAAAAAACAGGAGGACCATATTAAGCGTCCAATGAACGCTTTTATGGTGTGGTCCAGACTGCAAAGGAGGAAAATTGCACAGGACAATCCAAAGATGCATAATTCCGAAATCTCCAAACGATTAGGTGAGTCAATATTTAATATTGGTTCACGAGGAAAATATCGAGGATAGGTGTTTAGTCAACATTCATTAGTTTATACAGGGTGATTCAAAATTGGCGTCATTCCTTTTAAGGGTAGATACCCTATATAGGGGCTCACTTAGAATGGACGAAAAAAATACGAACATCTTATTTTTCCAAAATTTTAAGAAGATATTAACAGTTGAAGATCGAATTTCAATTTTGTTATTAAGCATTATTTTGAAAAGGTTCCACGTTTGATTGGTATGTTATTGTATGTATGTTCCACGTTTGATTGGAATACTTTAGTATTCTAAAAGAAAAATTACGACCTTTTTGTCAAATTACGAAAATTTTTCATATTAAAAAAGTACCTCCTAAAATTTTTTGATGAAAAGTCAAGGCGGCGATGATGTTTTTGTCATTAACAAATAGTTACAGGTAGACAGCCTTTGTCAATGCCTAATAACAAGCATTTGTCAAACTTTGGCTTATTTTGAAGCTCCTTTCACAAAATGTAAACCAACAGTGAATTTGCGAATATGCGATTAGTTATGGGAAAATGTCACAGTAACATAGCAGAAGCTGTAAGAACTTACACCAACAAAGAGCTATACACTAGACGAGTGGCCCGAAATGGACGCAGATAGTGGACAATCTAAAGGTGCTCGGTTTCCAGACCTAGAAGAACAGGTATTGGAGATTATTGCAGCTGAGCCTTCCAGGAGTACTTGAAGTATTGCACAACAACTGCACTTTCTCGATACACCGGATACTTAATTGTCCCGATAGCTCCCCCGAGGACGTGCCTAAATTCCTACCATGTATGTAATATGCACAGGACACCAGAATACATTAAATCTCTGATCTTCCGAACACGGGTTCAAATTAAGCAGCAGTTAATTAACCGAACACGAGAAGCTGCTCAAAATATGAGCCCAGAGCTCAAAGTGACACAAAGAAGTTTGGAGTGAAACGGGCAGGACTTCTTGCTCTTGGGGACACTTATGTTTTAACAACAAAATTGTAGTTTATTTGATAACTAATAGTGATCAATGATACATAACCTTAAACAGGTGGTTTTGGATGGCCCTTGTGACCTATCTAGGTATATCACTCATTTGCCACTCAAGGTGACACCGTTATCCTAACCTTAACGTATGTTATTGTCTCTGCTTCAAGTTTATCGATGGTCACCGGAGTTTTTAATAATTACGAAGGAACAGGTATTTATGTAATGTTAATTATGCAGATTACCTTGAAAAACATTGTTGTCATTCTTCTGATCTAAGTTTTTTGCAAATATCCCAGTTTTTAATAACATTTAATCCCGAGACACATCCAGACAACACCTCGAGAGGAGTGACGCCAATTTTGAATCACCCTGTATACGTAATAACGACATAGCTAAACACTGACCTCGCATCAAAAGTATGTTTTGAGAGAAGGTTTAGGGTGGTTAAAGAAAAGGGTTATACGAGTCTGCAGTTATCACCCTGTTTTTGGTTTTTTTTATTTTAAGTGGTTGGGATTATAATGTTTGAGTTGTAGTTAATTGATTGTAATGTACAGAGTGTACGCTTTTGTAGGGTCTCTCCGAATTGCTACTACTATCAAAAAAGTTACATAAGTGCCATATGCTCAATTTGAAAAATTTCGTCCGCTTAAAAAATTGCTGAAAAACACGTACAATTTCAAATTGACTGTTTATTGTCATAGTTAAAATAGATACGAAAAGTGTTAATAAGCGAACATATCTGTCGCTTAAAGAATAAGTATAAACCGTAAGCTTTGTTAAACCAAAAAATTCAATTTTTTTTAGTCCGTAAAAGGAAAGTTAATATTCTAGAAACTGAGAGATGTCAACATTTTATCTGGCCAGGCATTAAACAATATATTTTAACAGACAAAGAGTTAAAGGAAATACTTGTCACAAGCAAGTAACATAAAACACTAAAAAAACTTTCAAACAAAACCAAAATAGATCACTGTAGCAAAATAATGAGAATTACACATACCTACCTAAAACCGAAAGTAAAATGAGTTTAATTATCGAAAAATTAAAGAATTCAATGTAATCAGCGAGGACGTCGACAACATGGAAGAACACCAGATGAAAATACGGAACACGAGAACACTAATAAAATGCAAACTTCTTAATTTTATTCGTGAATATGTGAGGTTCAAAGTGTAAATGACATAATACATTTGTAGGTTTTATGCAGGGCATTTACCTGAAACGACTGACCACTTTAAACTCGTTTCAAATATTATTCAATTATCTAATTAAATTCCGCAATTTTTGTACATTTTACAGGTTAAAGTGTCTTAGTTGAATTAAATTCAAATCGTACTCAACATCAAATAAGCCGGAATTGAAATATCTACAAACTCTTAAGGTTTGATTGTTATATGTTAGAGTTGGCACCTTCGACCAGACACAATAAATTAACTGAGTTTACAGCTGCTCTAGCTAGTTTATCATCTGCGGAAGATTAAAACTGAGTTTTTCCAAAAATGGTATCATTGCAGGAAAGAAGATTAATTGTGAATTTAGATCTTCTTTGTTCATCCGAAAAGTTTTGACCAAAGAGTGAAATTCAATTAAGTATTTTGTTTTATAATTTTACTTCCTGCAGTTTGTTTAGTACCTACCGAAGTTCTTTTCTTTCAAGTGTGAATCAAGACTATTTTCCGAAAAAACTATTCTAAACTACCCTGTTATTTCACCTATCAGTGCAAATAAACAACAGGACATGATTTTACAACTTTTTATTAGGCTTATAGTCATTGCTATTTGTTTTTTTATCGATGCAATTTTCCCTCACATGATAAAATAAGAGCAGTTTAATTTAATAATTATCGGTTTTGCCTCAATTATCATAAAACATCTCGTAAATTTATTTCGAACTTATTACTACTTTTCTATAATAAGATTCTTTCCTGTACTTCTTCTCTGCTTTAACAGTATTTAAAATCAGAAATTGTTTTACGAATAAAACCCCGTTACTTTGCATCCTCAGCAAAGCCTCACAACCGCACAATAGTGATTGTGTGCCGGAGTAAAATAAAGCAATCAGAAGAGACAATCTCTTAGAAATTATGTAACTTGAAGTATCTATTGCGAAGAGAGAGGACAATGTAAGATGAACAAAGCCACCTAAAGAGACATCTCTTGGGCCATTGTTCCGATTGAATCTGATTGTTCTCCACAAAAGAACAGTTTGAACTGCAAACCTATAGCTAAAATGAAATGTTTGCGATTAACTAAGTTGTCTATTATTTCAAACACAAAAGTTCAACTTCAATTATATCACAATTGAACTTTTGATTGTTGCTTTTTTTAAAACTTTTTCTCGATTTACGGAAGCGCTGCTATAAAACTTATTTTTCTCATGCTAAGTGGTCAAAACCAACAACTGAAAATATTTTTCACCTACATCGATCATCTTCCAGTCTATAGGAACTCAAAAGTAAACAAAGGGTTATCATGTGGCGCCCTTCGACAAACAAAAATATTTGACTTCTAGTTACCTGAATAAAAAGGTCTAATATTTTAGGAAAGCAGTAATAATGACCCAAAACGAAGCATTTGCTCTTGCACAGTAGTTAACATCCTACTGATAATTTGCTGACAATGCTGGAAGTATATTGTAGACTGGCTACTCGTTACAGCTAAGCTAGTTTTTTCACTGTGGAGGAAGTCGATCTATATTTATTTAGAATTATTCCTACGGGTTCAGTCTGTTAATTAGTCAAGTAACTAGTTATCAATAAGAAGCTGTTTAACTGCGTTAAAATCTTTAATGAATGGACCCCTTATTTTTATGCAACTAGACCCGGAATGGTATAATTTCGAGCGAGAAACTAGAAAACGCTTCTTTAAGAATTACTGAGTATTCCATAAGAAAACTGATTTTGCTGTATTTTTGAAATACATAGTACAAGTAGTGTAGCTAAATGGTTTATTATTGAAAAGCCAAGCTTATAAATAACAAACTAAACAAATAAATAAACTTTATTGATAAAATAGCGTTTCCCGGTGGCAAAGTGGACACTAACCGTATCAGCGGTGTTCGGGGACTTCATATAAAAATAACAATTAATAATTATACAACATAAAGTGCCCTATAAATATATAACACTACGCAAAATTATAGCAAATCAACGAAAACATTAAGGAAATTATGACCCCTGACCAACCGTAATATTGTAATTACTACTTCAAATAATATTTGTTCTCGCTTTCATTAAACTTCTGAACTTGTTTAGCGTTATTAGTTCTATTCTTTTTGTTTTGTTAAAACTACAATGAAGCAATTATAGCATTAGCAGTGAGAGTACAAGTATGTTCCATCATTTTGCAAAAACGTACATATTTGCTTTTTTTTCCATGTAATAGTGAGGTACCCTCCGCCCGATGCCAAAAAATAGATTTGTTACATAATTGGTTTGTTTGTGTTTCGTATAGAAAAATAGGTCACCAAATATACGTCAGAAGAAGTTAGGTTGTTAAGGCAAAATGAAAAACTTAGAAAACCATGTAAAACCTTAAAAAGGAAACCTACGCTTAAATCTACTCACTCCAGACCGACACAAACATTGCATCATTTGCATGACAGCTCAAACTAACCAATATTATAATAAGGCATGCATTCTTGCATGTTTTCAACAGCTACTAATAAAGAATAACCTGACTAACACAAGCATGTGCATGATAGTTAAGGMWACTAACCAWGACTAACTSAAACTAACCAAGATTAAAATAAGGCATGCAATCTTGCATGTTTTCAACACCTACTAATAAAGATTAACCTGACTAACACAATCATGTGCATGATAGTTAAGGCTACTAACCAAGACCAACTCAAACTAACCAAGATTAAAATAAGACATGCATTCTTGCATGTTTTCAACAGCTACTAATAAAGACTAACCTGACTAACACAAGCATGTGCATGATAGTTAAGGCTACTAACCAAGACTAACTCAAACTAACCAAG